AAACATTTAACCCAACCGCTGGGTCAAAACAGCCTAATTGCTGGGTTTGTCCCTATTTTACCCAGCACTGGGTTGTATTTAACCCAGCATTTTTTAGAGTGTACCTGGTAAATAATATCCTGATATTTTACCCTTTCCAAAATGTTTGAAGTAAACCCATTGCAAATTTGATTAATTTTGATTTCCTTATTTTTTATTTTTGTTTGTTTATGTATTTATTTACTTATTTATTTTACAGTCATGGGCTTTGCAATGCAACAACTCCATCAATAATTAAATACATATTTAATTATTAACATAACATAATTATAAACACATTAACATAATGGTTTACTGTTTTAATTCTTCTATTTATCTATTTATTTGTTAGTATCTGTCTATTTATCATGTAAACAATGAGGCTTTTCTCTTTGTAACTGAGCATTACAAATGCTGTCTTTTCTTCTGAGTTTTGCTCTGAAACAGTATATAATTACCTGATGTAAACGCATGTTTAATCCTCATATACTCAATGATTTTGATTTGATAATGATACTGATTTAAGTTTTTTGAACCTTAAAATACACATTGTTTGTGTGTGTGTGTGTATGTGTGTATATATATATATATATATATATATATATACAGTATATACACACACACACACACAGATACTATATATTTTCTGATGCTAGTGGGTAGAAAGCAGTAGGATGTTATTGATATGATAATATCAGCCTTAAACTGAAATGAAATGACAAAAGTGTAACAAGGCATAGGAGGAAGATATACAAAACAACAGAAATCATTAAAATCAGAAGAAAAAAATTCTGGTTTTATTTCATCTGCCTGCTGAGATTGCTTCACACCCCTACAGACTACTTTTTATTAGCTCCATAACGTATTTATCGCTGCCAGCATGATGGTTTAGCTCTTTAAAATCCTTTTTAGTCTTCAAGGTCCACCGTGCCATTGACAGCCCACCATGCATCATAATGTGGGATTGGCTATAGAAACCTCTTAAATTTGCTGTTGGTATATTCGCCTAGAGTAAGATCCCATTCCTCTGACGATCAGTTAAGTGACCTACTTGAGAGCGGGAGAGAGACGGAGGGGTGGAGAGCGACACCAGTGATGATTGCTGTCATTATAATCTAGTACTAGAGAAAATGAGGCTAATGCAAGTGTCAATCTGCTAAATAAGTCCACTGGGCTCAATAGCGCAGCTGGATCTCTGGAGCAGCCACTGAAGGGACTCACACACACACTGCTCGCTAATATGGAGTCTTGACCTTTCATAAAATGAAACGGGATTCATGCGTACATTAAACGCAGTATCAGGTATTTTGTTGAGCAACAGAATCAAAACGGTTATGTCAAGTTTTACACCGTGTCACATTACAATGTCTGTAAATAAACTTTATATATATGTGTGTGTGTGTGTGTGTGTGTGTGTGTTCACTAGTGATTGTGAGGGAAAACATTTTTCAAAGTAAATCCTACACTAATTTTTTGTGGGGGGATTTTTTTTCCACTGAGCTCTCGTCACAGTCTATTATAGGATTGTCGTCTTTGTGAAGGATAAATCTGAAACCTAAAAGAAGGTTTCTTAGAAGGCAGCATGATTAAGCTGCATACTTTTAGAACAAGCTAAAGCGGTGCTGAAATTGGCTTTAAAATGGCATGAAATCTGACCTAGACGTGTTCTTGACATGACACTTTTCACCCAGAGTGTCCACCTACTTCCTTTCTGTCTGACACATTCCCCGGTGAAGCATGACGAGCTTCATCTCCCGTAGCTCTGGTGACTTCAGTCTTCTCTTCTGCTTAAATGACTGCAGCCTGTGCATATTATTTGTGTCCTTTGCCTTTCCTCTGCAAACTTAACTTTTATGAGGTTGTCAGGCCTTGTTGCTGAAGCAGAACAGACTGTTTAATGTTGGAGAGGACAAAGTGAAGGTCTGGCTCAGATCTCGCTTTATCATAAACATCAGTGAGAAGAACCAGAGCGTTGATGCACTCCAGGTGTGTTTACTGAGAACGCCAGAGCCTTAGGATCATGAAGATTCGCTCCAGGAACCATCATACCATTATACCCCACTGTTAGATAGTCCCTCAGGCCGTTTTGGGAGATAATCATGATGTTTTCAGATTTTCATTTGGCATCACATCTTTAGTAGTAATGATGTCAGTGATACCGAGTATCATTTTTTGAAAATTTAAAAGCAAAACATTTCATATCACTGCTGTACCCCTGATGTGTGCAATGCATATAATATAACAGTTGTTTTTGGTTAGGTTTTGTATATACTTAAGTAGATTTTGACACTATTTATGGTCCATATACTTAACTACATTTAAAACACAAATTAAATAGACAGTTTTAAATGTTATTTAATTTTTTAAAAATATATTTATTTATTTATTATGTTTTAAACTATATTTTAAAACATAAATTGGATAGACAGTTTTAAATGTTGATTTATTTTTTAATTTAATTAACTACATTTTAAAATGTGGATTAAATAGATTTTTAAAAGTCAGTTTATGTTTACATTAATAAATATGGATTTATTATTTTCTTTTACAACACGAAGTAAATAGACCGTTTTAAATGTTCTTTTTTTATTTAAGAAGTATTTATTAATTTGTGTTTTAGAATGTCAATTTATTTTAAAATGTAAGTAATATTTATTCATTTCATTTATTTAATTAATAATTTTAAAACGTGAATTAAATCGTTTAAAATGTCAATGTATTTTTAAATGTAATAGATTTATTGATTTATTTGTATTTAATTACAATTAAATATGCAGTTTTAAATGTCTATTAATTTGTCCATTTACAAAAATAATTTATTTCCTTTTTATGTAAAATTGATAATTATTCCTTCATTTCACTCCTAGTCCTCCATTGCAGTACAACTCTTTTCCATACAGCAACAGTTCATAGTGACCACATTAATCTCCGAAATGGAGAAAAAAACATTATAAATGATGAAAGATCCATTAGTGATATGAAATGCCATTTAACCGCAGATCATCTACAGTACAGTGAAGCCTTCCTTCATTAAAGCGACTCAAATGAACACAGCACTCCCTCTAAAAGCCCACCTGAATGCTTGTGTAAAACGATCTCTCCTCCAAACCCCTGTAATCACAGAAGAAGCTCGCTGGTTTACAAAACATGCCACTGATTGCTTGCTTACTGGCACTGTCAAATTTTCTTCCAAAATGATTATATGGAGAGCTCTGAGGACAGGACTCCGCTGAGGCTCGTATCTGTGTGTGTGTGTGTGTGTGTGTGTGTGTGTGTGTGTACTTCAGGCTCGGCAAACACGCTCAGTGAAACAGCACAGATGGCTGTGATCTCACTTGGCTTTCTTACAGTCAGACGGACAGGTGGACGCCCATTTCTCACCACAGATATCTCCTCTCTCTCTCTCTCTCTCCGTCTTTCCCTCAGGAACTCAAGGAAGGAGTTGAATGACATACGGTTTGAATTCACTCCAGGGCAAGGTCAGTGCACCTCATCATACATCAGCCGCAGTCGTAGTGTTATGCTGCCTTCAAATCCTCCCGGGAAATTCCCACTTACGAGGCCGGGAAACATCACGACGTGATTTTGGTCAGAATAAAATGGGCACAATTTCTTTTTCACTTCCTGACAGACTTTTGGAGCTTTGTTAGCGCTAGTGCAACAAAATGAAAAGTAAAGGATGGGCATTAGGTTTGCATGCTTTATGTATATATTCTTGTTCTAGTGCAACCACATGGAATGATGGGAAGTGTAGGCATGTTTGGTTGTAATCCAGCTAGATTAATAGATGTATTTGTTTGTTTTTAACCAGTCATTCTGTTTTTGAATTATATATTATAATAGCTTTAAGGACTTAGAAAAAGTGCAAAGTACAATTTCCCTGATTTTAATGCAAATTTAATCTTTCAACATTCTCAAAAATTAGGGAAAAGTAATTACAATGATTGCAGTTCATTTGGTATTTATGTGTACAAAATAGCAATTCAAAAAAAATAAAAATCTGTCCCCAGTACTGCTGTCATAATCATTAAATCAAGTATTTTGTGGAATAAAGGAAAGGGAAGCACATCTTTGCCATGGTACCAGATTGAAAATTAAAGGTGGGGTATGTATTTTTTCAAAAACGCTTTACAATACAGAGTCGGGCCGAGTACCAAAACAAACTTGTAGCCAATCAGCAGTAAGGGGCGTGTCTACTCATGATGCGGAGGAGAGAGCGCTTAGTGCACAGGACGGACATTAGCCGAGCCGAGCGACAGAAAAATAGAGATGGCGGATTAAAAAAACAAAAGAGGAAAACGTCTGCGGAACAAAAGAAGGCTTACGATAAGGTAGTGATGGCGAAGTGAAGCGTTCTGAACCAGCAAAGCTTTCAACACAATTATATCGGAAAAAGGTTCATTACTCGAAGCTTTTTAAAATGGTGTGGCCATCTAGTGGTCATAAAAATAAATAACACCTTCCAAAGTGTTATGTTCCGATACAGCCAGTGGTTTCACATGTGGTTCAACAACTGATTCTTTGTTTTATTATATTTTATATAAATAATTGTCAAAGTCATTCATTTGTGTCGGTGTACTGGCACTAAAATAAATAAAACATAAATTCATAAATTAAATCTATGATCTGTTTATTTGAACTCTGCCTCAGTCCTTATACTGTTATTTTATGGCCAAAGTTCATTTTTGAGGTCAATATATAAATTACGATTAAAAATAAACAAAATAACAATGCTAACACTATAATATAACATAATGTAAAGGAAACGCGCTGAGGTTCGCTTTGTTTGAACCAGATACTGAAGCAGTCACGTGGTTTTCAGGCGAATGAAGCTTCGGACATCATAGATCACATGCTTTTCTCAAAACGAATCATGCTGCGATACAGAGCTTCAATATGAAATGTGTTGTTTTTTTGATACAAGCTTCAAAGCTTCCGTGTTGAACATAACATCACTACGATAAGGCAAGAAGTAGGACCCGTGTAAATATCGGATCAGCTTTCCAGCGCTGGAGAGAACTCAAGGAGCGGAGGCCTGCGATCGTACGCCGAGGTTGCTTTGTTTCTTCTCGATAGGTGAGTAACACCGTGCCTCGCGCCGCAACAGCTGGACGCGACAAATCGACCATTGAAAATCATTTGAAATTTGTGTCAGTACGTCATAAATAGAACGCAGCAGCAGTTTTCTGTCGGGGATTTGTCGCGTTGTGTCACGCCGCTCCGCATCCAGTGTAGACAGCATCACTGATTATAATGAGTTCTATAGTCTTCTGTCGCGCCGCACCACTCACGTCTGGTGTAGACACGGTGTAACATTGGTTTTGCTTTGTTTCACAGAATTAATCGTTGCGTACGTATGTGTGGGGCGGAGCTATCAAAATAGGGGTGAGACCCTTTTGGGGTAGGGGCGTGTTTGTTTTGGTGATTTGAAATATCAATATTGGCTTCCAGACATCACTTACCCCACCTTTACGAAACAATCCATTTTATTTTGTTTTTATAAAATTAATTAAGTGCTAGACAGCTTGTTGCATTCTCCAAAAATTCAAATGTCATTTTCATTGCATATCATACCAAACTCCAGTTGAAGTTTGATGAAGACTGTTATCAGATTTTTATTCCAGGTTTTAAAATAGATGAAACCCAGAAGAATCTCCCATGAACTAAATGTGCAGTCACTGTACACGCTGAAAACTGACTATGATTAATAGAAATTTAATTCTGCCGTGCCGAAACGACTCCAGCTCAGTAAGCAGGAGCTCAGAGAAAATCCAGTTTCCTACTGGTAATTATGACATTGTGCTGGTGTTTATTGCGTCTAATAAAAATAATCTTTTTGGAGTGACTTGAAGGCAGCATTAGCAATAGAGAAACCTTAAGAGACGCCCAGCGTGAGAAATATCTCAGCATTCCTTCAGTTCACACTCTGACTCGTGATGAGCTCTGCATGTGTGCAGATCTCTCTTTCTCTCTCTCTCTCTGTGTGAATCTATCTATCTATCTATCTATCTATCTATCTATCTATCTATCTATCTATCTATCTATCCGTCTATCCGTCTATCCGTCTATCCGTCTGTCTGTCTGTCTGTCTGTCTGTCCGTCTGTCTGTCTGTCTATCTGTCTGTCTGTCTTTCTATTTATCTGTCCGTCCGTCCGTCCGTCTATCTATCTATCTATCTATCTATCTATCTATCTATCTATCTATCTATCTATCTATCTATCACGTTAGGGTTAGGGTTAACCTTCCTATTGGCAACCACAAATTATTTAGGTTATTTATAACAAATAAATAAGTCACACATTATTTAACATTTTCTTTAAAAGTTAAAATGCAAATCATGAAACTCTTTGTTCCAACTCTAAATTCTGATTCTGATTCTGACACATTTGAAGTTTGACTGCGCATCAGTTGATTATATTTTAAAGTGGCAAACCATTTGCTATTCTATTTGAAAATTGTCCGGAATATCGTTCCATATAAAACACTAAACTTTGCTTTCTTTCGATCATTGCTTGCTACATCTCGTCACACTGCCCAGCTCGAGATCTGACGTGTTCAGTTCAATCGAGGCCATTGCGACTTGCTTGTTGATGTTTGTGTGCGTGGGTTTGCCAGAACATGCTTTTAACTTTGTGTTCTCTCGGGTTTCTTGCTGTGATATCATGCTGTGCATCTGTGTTTTTTCTCCTCAGACACTGCTGATGGAGTTTCTCAGGAGCTCTTCTCTGCTGGTCTGGTCAATGGCCATGATGTTGTTGTGGGTCAGTTGCATGTGCATTATATTAAACTCCAATACACTGCCCGGTCTTAAAAAGGTCTTAAGAAGTCTTAATTTGCCGTTCCAAAAATGAAGGTCTTAAAAGGCCTTGAATCAGAGCAAAACAATCTTAAATTCATAGTTATGGCTTGAAATGTTGCATATACATTCTTAAATCAAGATCCTTTATTTGACATGCAAAATTAAGATATGAAGTCTTGTTTTCTGAGAAAGAATCTTTAGACATTTGTATTGGGAAAACAAGACAAAAATACTAAGAAAGAGCACCAGTTTTTTTGCAGTGTGCTCAGAAGGTACAGTCAACGTTATTTCCATATTTCTAGAAACCCTGTAATATCAGTTACAGTCTCAGTGCAGCAACTTTATTTTGCCTGTATGACTGAAATGCAATGCTTTTATTTACAAAAACCATAAGTTTGAATTGATTGCATTTTAGTCCCTAAATACACTTTTAGCTAAAGTGATTTTCATGGCATTGAAGGTAGACATGTGATTACTTCATGCATTTTCCTGGGAATCGAACCCATAATCTTGCCATACGGCATGCTCTACTGTTAGGTTATTTTATTTGCATAATCATTTTTTTAATTAATAAACATTTTATTATTTAAATATTGTAATATAATAATAGTATATAAATATTAATTACAGATATTAATAAATATTTGAATGACTTCTGACTATAACATCACAGCAACTCGTGATGTTTCTGGCCTTTTAATGGAGCTCATACCGGCTTCATCTGCAAGGAGAAAATTGAAAAGGGAAACATTTCCAGGGGTCATTAGTTCACTAAACATTCAGAGCAATATGCTAGGTATACAGATAAGATGAGTCGCTCAGCTCTGAAAAGAGCTGTCCATGCATCAGTAACGCCATAACTGCACCAATTAATGCATGTAGTTAAAATTCACGGCTACACACAATTTGCCTAGTGGCCCTCAAGGTAATTTGAGTTCGAGACCCCTGCTTCAAGCCATTTCAGAGCAAATACATGAATACTGAGATACTGCATATCCACATATCTTTTGTTTAGTTCTAGCACACAGTTCTAATGTCAGTATCTTTTTCTACATGTGTTTTCCCAGTGGCTGCTAACCTTCAGAAGATTGTAGAAGACCCAATTACCTATAAATTATTGACCTTTAAGTTGGTGAGTATTCGGATGCTAAATGTCGCAGAGAATCTTGCAGGATTCCCATGATTCAGGAAAAGCTGGGAATATCATGGCCTGGAAAAGTAATGGAAATTAACTGTAAAATATACATATACATTTTCTGGTTATGCTCTTTGTATTTCATTGGCTAGAAATTGCTCTTTGTGGGTGCAATCTCTATAAAGTTACTTTCAAAATCCAATTATGAACAACTGTTTCCACGACGTAGACACGCCCCTACCTATAACAACCCAGCCACAACACATAATTGCAAATAACATGCCTTACCTTAACACAGAATCGACCACAGAGTCCAACGTTTATATTTTTTTCTACAAATCTTTGAGTTAACATGTACTAAACATGAGTGGAATTTGCACCGCAGCGCCCCCACACCTTGATACTCATGACAAGAATAGCATGTATAGTTATCTTTATTGAAGTGAATTAGGTTTAAATCGCCATCATGCATGAATGAATGATATTTTTGCAATTTTACACATAATAATCCACGATGATCACATTACACAAAACTGAAATTGCACGTCAAAATAACACATTGTCAATATTTTTTGAGATCCCCAAAATTTCACAAGCCCATGTCTTATTAAGGGGAGCCGAGCTCCCCCTAGCTCCCCCGTAGTTCGCACCCTGTATCTATATATATACTGTATATATATTTTTAAAATAAATTTGATTTAGTTTCATTTATTTTATTTTATTATTTTATTTCCGTTTTAGTATATCTATCAAGTCAAGTTGGCAACTATCTAAAATAAAAATCAATGTAAGTTTTTTTTATATTTCATTTAACATTTATTTTCTTTCAAGGAAATGCTACTTGAAATAAAATAGATCTGACTTGTTCAAGACAGCTGAGCCTTTTTTTAATCAGTTACGAATAACTGGATTTTATAATATTTACTATGATTATTATTATTATTCATTTTTATATTTGAATTTTGAGTTTTTATTTAAATTTTGGTTTTAGTAATTTTGTTGTGTTTTTTATATATAGTTCTAGATAGTTTTTATTATTTTTTATTTCAGTATTAGTTATTTTAATACTAAATAGTGGTTTTAGTTTTAGTTAACTTTAATAAACTTGTAGTTTAGTAAACAATGTAATTGAGGCCATTGCGACTTTTTTTTTGCAATCCAGTTACGAAAAACTTGAAAAGACACGGCAAGTCCTTCAGTTTGTCAGGAACAAAAAGTGATTTGTTTTTGTACGATGCTGTTTGTTTTGATCATTGTGCATTGAATATGCATGCCGTACATCTCTCAGGTCCCACACAGCCATTCATTTATTATTCGCTGAAATCACGTCTTTGACAGCGTAATGAATTTTCATTACATAATTACTTATTGATTACTCTGAGCACATGACAAACCTGAGAGAATATTAGAAGAGTGTTTAATGATGCCTTTTAATGCGTAAAAAAAAAAGACAGAACTGGGAATTTCTGGCAGGTACATGAATACCCGAATTAAAATGTCACCGAGCATTTTCACTAAACCCATATAGATGAAGAAGGGAACGCATTAGACCGCAGGATCCTGTAGAAATATCTGTTCATATTCCCCCGGCCTTTTGCATTTCACTCTTTGTGGAAGACTAGAGACAGATAGTGCTGATAGACGCAGCTTTAATCCACTTTTAAGTGGATCCCGTTATATTGGATAGGATAATGCTTTCACCGTTGTCATGAATAGTCTGCTGAGATCATATTCGAATAGATGTGTTTCATCAACTCAAGTCAAGTCACCTTTATTTATATAGTGCTTTATACAATACTGATTGTGTCAAAGCAGCTTTACACTGTTAAACAGCAAAAACGAGTGCTGATAATGCAAGAGGACAATAGAAAACAGTCAGTTTATCAGTTAAAGTCAGTTCATTGTTGATTCAGTGATGTCCAGCACAGTTCAGTTCTCTTCCAATAGTATCTGTGCACTCAAGTCAACAATGTTGCCAGAAATTGTGTCCCCAACTAAGCAAGCCAAAGGCGACAGTGGCAAGGAACCAAAACTCCATCGGTGACAGAAAAAAAAGCCTTAGGAGAAACCAGGCTCAGTTGGGGGGCCAGTTCTCCTCTGGCCAGACGAAACCAGCATGGCGTGGTTTAATTCCAGGCTGCAACGCACGTCAGATTGAGCAGAGGACTCGTCTGGTTCCCGTGGTCTTGTGCCGATGGTCATTGAGGTCTTCACAGGGGATCTGTCTCTAGGGTTCTTCTAGAGTGTGTCTGCCTCCCGAACAACGCTAGGTAGATTGTTCCAGAGTTTGGGCACCAAATAAGAATAGGATCTGATGCCCGCAGTTGATTTTGATATTCTAGGTATTATCAAATGGCCAGAGTTTTGAGATTGCAGCGGACGTGAAGGACAATAATGCGTTAGTACTGAGGAGCTAAACCATTCAGGGCTTTATAAGTAATTAGCAAGATTTTAAAATGTATTCGTTGTTCAATAGGGAGCCAGTGCAGTGTTGACAGAACCGGGCTAATATGGTCATAATTCCTGGTTCTAGTAAGAACTCTAGCTGCTGCATTTTGGACCATATGGAGTTTGTTTATTAAGCGTGCAGAACAACCTCCCAATAAAGCATTACAATAATCTAACCTTGAGGTCATGAACGCATGAAATGCTATGCTATGCTATCAAATAGCGCACCTAGGTTCCTAACTGATGACGAGGAATTGACAGCGCAGCCATCAAGTGTTAGACAGTGTTTTAGGTTATTACATGTGAAGGATAAAGCATAAAAAAATACCTGTTGCAAAGATACTTTAGTATAATTGATTTACAGTAGTCAACATTTGAAGTGGATCAAAAAACTTCCCATGCAATATATCGCAATAAGCATTGTGCTTTGGTACTTTTAATATGAAACAAAGTCTCAGATTTCAAATTCTGTCCATTTGTATTGCAGTATTCAAACAATTAATGCCGTTTTGGCGCTGTTTAATGTGAAGTGACAGATCGCTGTAGCACTTCGATCAACAGACGCAGCAGCGCGAGGCGCATGTGAACTGATCATCTCCTCCACATTAATACCAGTTTCAGCACAAAATAAACATGACTAAACATCCGAAGGTAAGTTAAAAGAAAGAGTACAACTTTACAATCCATGTCCTGTCTCATGTAATCACTCAATCAGTGTTTCAGCCACGTAAAGACGTCAATATAACGTCTTGTACAATGTCACGTAATGTCACATTTACCTACATATATATAGTGTATATATATATATATATATATATATATATATATATATATATATATATATATATATATATATATATAAATATCATTGAAATATATCAGATATATCGGTTTATCATTGAAACCGATAACTCCATTTAAATTTTTTTCAGAAATCACATTTTTTTTATTGCACATTCCATGTAATATCAATCAAACTGCAGTTGGGTTATTTTGATAATAATAATAGTAATAATAACTTAAACAAATACAGGTAATTTACAAAATTAAAGTTCATTGAAAGTATGTTTTTTTAACATATTAAAAGTTTGTTTTATAGCAAAAGCAGACAACTCCACATTTCATGTTTTAGAGTTTAAAAAACATTTGTTTATCTTTGTAATCTCCTCGGATGACAATGTAGATGCCTGACAAACGTTGTTGTTGTGATCATAAACTGTATGGATGTGATGCAATACACGGCGCTTTTCCCTCATCATTGTAACGCGCTGCTTTTGCAAGTTTCCGTGAAAACGTTTCAGCTTTTATTTTCCTTTTTTGCCCTGAAGAAGATATCACAGGTTCATCAAGTTCGTAGAAATGATCCATCCTCGATCACTTTTAGTCAGCTTTGAGAAACTCCTCTCAGCTAGCATGTCTTTTCAAAGTGAAAGTAGCCTTGTCACCTGACCTGAATACAGCACGCTGATTCGCTAAAAAAGACTTATCGGCTTCTGTTTAAAAACAACATGGCCGCTTGTCGGCTTCTGCAGTAAAACGTGAACTCGCGATGCCTTGAAAGTGGACAAAACCTGCTTTTTTGACAAAACGTGTTTAGGGTTCAGATCACGCTATATGTGGAGAACAAAGTTTTCTGTACCCACTGTATATATATATATATATATATATATATATATATATATATATATATACACACACAGTTTGAAAAGTACTTTATCTAAAACTTTTAGATGAGCCATTCCTAGAAAACACTAATCGTTAAGGGCAGGTCTCGGTGGACTGGGCAATACGGCGGCGACGGCTGTGTTTAATCACTCCGTTAGATGAGTTGGTGGTAAACAACATCTGCGTGTTAGCAGGCGGCTCATTCTGCTGCGGCCTTTCTCAGAGAGCTATTTCTACAGCATCTGCCAGCTCTTACCCTTAACTTCACCCGCCGACCCTCCACAGAGCTCCCAGAATGCATTTCTCAGTTGCACCTGGAGTGTTTTCGAAAATCGCATTATGAAGTGTGGAGTTTTATTGTTTAATTTCAGCTTGAGCGTCCCTGGAGAGAACTTCACATCATGATTAGAAAACAACTCTGAGAAATGTGCATATGTAACAGGAACGTAGACCGTGGCGTGTGTGTGGAATATCTCAGGCTGCCCGGTTCTCCGATCTCATTTACTAATGTCACTCCTGACTACACTGTGTGCAACTCAGACAATTAGGCTGCTTGGATATTGAACCGTGAAGAAGACTTGTGTTTGTGGTTGCTGTGTGCACACATGCAGGCTCTGTGGTTTGAGCGTAACAGTTTATGCACTTTAAAGCTGATGCTGGAAATACATTGATTTCAATGAGGATGGTGCATTGCAAGGGCTTGTGAAAGTGATGTTGTCTCATGCAAACAAAAGTTGATCTTGTTTCCGCCAAACAAACCAATATAGTTTGTGAATAAGCCACACATTTTTAGCTTGATAACTAAATTAGTGATTTTAGTCGCACTAAAGTTGATGTTTTCATATAGCATGAGCCTGCTAATAGCTCACTTCAGCTATTAGGTGCAAAAGGCTGTGCTAATGCTGTGTTTTCAGTATAATCACAGCAGAAGGGCATTATTAGGCACAAAGTACAGCGGACGATTTATTGCTTTTAGATAAGAAGTTACTGCACTAAAAAATAATAAAACAATATTTAAAAAATTATATTTTAAATAAAATAAAATATAATTTTTAAATTAAATATATTTTGCATTTTTAATTACATTACTATTTAATTTTTTTTTAATTTCATAGTTTTTTTTTTCATTTTAATTCTATCTATCTATCTATCTATCTATCTATCTATCTATCTATCTATCTATCTATCTATCTATCTATCTTTAATAAAATTATTTTTAATGTTATATTTTTATTTTGTATTGTGTGTGTATATACTATATATATAGAGAGAGAAACACATTTAAATATAATTAACCATTTTTATACAAATCATATTTTTTAAATAATACAAAATAAAAAATAATTTAATATTATTAAAATTAAAAATTTAATTAAATTGTTATTTTTTTATTTTAATTTAGTAAGTTTTTTTTTTATTAAATGTTTTTACATAAAAATATTTTATATTTTACATTTAATTTATTAAGTGTTGTCCTTCCTGTAGAAGATACAAATACATATCTGGATGTTTCTATCGTAGCAGTCTTACAGTTGACTATGCATATTAAGCTAAATATTTCCAAATATCACTTTTATTTTACCAGTGTCTACAGTGTGTGTCCATCAGAGTGTTTTCTGCGTGTGTAAGCACACACACACAGCAGAAGAAGAAGTACTTCCTTCATTTCTGAGTAATTCATAATGCTTCACTCAGGAGAAATGTGAGTTACGTCAGTGAGGAGTTTTATGGTCAGACCTTTCTAAGGGTCACAGTCCCTCTTATTTAGCAGGAGCATGAACTCAAGCCCGTATTTCACTGCAGTGTTTTTCAGAGAGAGCAGACGCTCACTTACATATAAATATACACACACACACACACACACACACCTCCATCTAAGATCAGTCGTCTGACCCTGAGCGGCTGATAGTTTCTGTGTCTCCTCCAGAGAATACGGACAGGCGGTCGATTTCCTCCAGACACTCGGGCTGTGTTACCTGCGATAAGATGATCTGCTCTCTGCCCAGCACCGCTCCGTCATTAGACACCCGTCAAAGACAGACCACCATTTCATTACTCTTTCATGTTTTCTTTTACCTTTCATCCCTTAACCTCCCTTTTTGAAGTCTCTTAGATATTAGTTTTTGGAAGTTAAGTCAAAATGTGAAGTACAGTAAACGAATAGTAACCATTAGAGGAATAGTCCAGGTTCAGTGCAAGTTAAACTCTGCTGACAGAATTTGTGGCATAATGTTGATTACGAAGTACCTTGGGTTTATTTATTTTTTTATTCATTCATTTATTTATATATTATTCTATTTTAATTTAGTATGCACATAAAATATAAAGGGAAGTATCCAGATTCAATGCTAGATAAACAACGTTTGTGACATGATGTTGATTACCTTTGTTTGTTTGTTTATTTATTATTTTAATTTTTTAGTATTTTTGTATGCACATAAAATGTAAGGGCAGCGATCTAGATTCAGTGCAAGTTGAACTCTATTAGCAGAATTTGTGGCATAATGTTTATTACCAAGTACCTATTGTTTGTTTATATTTTTTATTTTAGTATGCGCACAAAATATATGGAGAGTGATCTAGATTCAATGCAGGTTAAACTGTATTGACAGAATTTGTGGCATAATATTGATTATCAAGTACCTTGGGGTATTTATTTATTTATATAAATTTTTTATTATTTTATTTTTAGTATGCACTCGAAATGTAAGTAAATGTGTACCAGCATTGCGGAGGGTTTAAAAGCGCACATGCGAAGCTGCTGTTGTTAAAGCACTTGCATGAATTATTCAGTAAAAATCCATTTATTATATGAGCTGTAAAGTTGCCTAAATAGTGCTTTCTGAGGTGAACCTACATTTCTAAGTGGATGAACATCTGGTTACGTGTTGCTGATGAATTTGAACCAGGTAAAGTGTCTTTTTCTGGCATCCTTCTTCATATTGTGCGAAAGTTACCGGGCTTACTAGCATTATGATGATGCATTGCAAAGCCTAGTGAGCTGCCTTGCTGTTTGGAAGCTCATATATGACAGATCTGAAACACTTTACTTGATTCACATGATTTTATTTGAGTTTGCCATCAGCATGCTGCTTCAAAAATGAAGCAACTGTATTAGGCATAAAACTGCACAGCAGTTTTACATAATTATTTTATTACATAAATATGTGAAAAATAATGTGTTTTTCAAACAACCTAGTACGAGTGTTCTAGTACACCCCCAAAACAAAATCAAGACTTTGTAAAAGAGCATAATAGGACCCCTTTAACATGCTGAACCCGGAACATTCCTTTGAATAATGCTTCAGCAGTCACACAAGCTGTGATTTGTTTCAGCTGCATTAACGTGCATTTGTTTCTTTGTGTTTGTGTCTCCAGGCATCTGGTTGTGACAGCACAGAGATCCCAGATGAGGTGAAGTTGATTGGCTTCGCCCAGCTGAGCGTCACCTGATAGCATCTCATTACCAGAGCAGAAGGACGGGGAGAGTGAACGCTGCAGGAGACGCCGCTACCGCATTCAAGACCTCTGCTGCAAAACTCCCACCTCCTGCTCCCATTCAGGTTTTCCTTCTCCTCCCGAATCCCCCGCCCTCTGCACCTGTTCAATCAAACGCAGCACTCTTATTCAAACACACACACTTTTGCCCTTGTTCCCAGACACTGTATGCCCTTCACCAAAACATTCCAGCAGCCATTTCCCAGAATTCAAAGCAGGAGCCATCATCTCAGGAGGCAATAGCTAGTGAAACAAAAAGTTATTATTTTTTTTAAATTATAATTATGATTGTTATTGTGTTACCTCATAGCTCTTACCGAATTATGATTATTACTGAAAAAAAAGCCTTTTATTTCATGTAAGTGTAGCGCAGATCGTAGACCACAAAACTGAAGTGGAGAGGGGAGACTCCCTCTGAATGTAAAAAGCACATTTTCATTCTGAATGTTAACACATTCAAACTGTATTGTACATAGAATACATGATGTCTAAAATAAGGGAATATTTAGTTGTTTTAGTTCCAGCTCAAAGAGTATAAGAGCGGAGACCCGAATGCTGCCATGTGCACACATGCTGCTTTCTTTTTTCGGGACAGTGTTGATGCTTCGACGCTAGAGGTGCCTTGTTAATTTTAATCCGTGCCTAAGAGACGTAGGTTACAGGCTTGAAGCTGTTCGGCTGACACCGAACAGGAAGAACGCTGCTCGTCAGCAGATTCGCTCATAGTATTCTCACCGGTCAGTGGCTCGTGTTGAAGTTACCAGCTGATGCACTTTGATTTCATGCGGTGCGATGTACATGCACCTGTGACGCTTACCCAATAACTATCCATGTTTAACCCGTTAAAGCTGACAAACAAGGTCATTGCTACCACAACGCACACCTTAATCCTGATATATCATATTCACCAGACGGCCGATGGTTACGCGTCATTTTTACAGCACTCGAATGTGTTTGTTTTTGAGCCCAGAATGCATCTGTCTGTCAGTGAACAAGAGGTATTTTGTAAAGGAAACCAAATGTCTACTACTGAATGACAGAAAAGCCATCTGTGTGTCCAAAACCAGTATAGTAGCTTGAATTAAATGATTCTGTTCTCAGCCCAAATGTAAATAAATATTAAATCATTTATTATTATGATTAAGTTGAATTGTGTTTTCTATATACCATGCGTGTTCCCTCCCTACTATTCAGCCCTTCTGTAATCATCAGAGAATATAAACTTTCTGCGAAGGTACAACAAATAAAACAGAATTGCTACTATTAAACCGGAGCATGGCTGTGTTTTGGAAGAAAAGGGACTCTAACCGTATAATGTGATTATGATATTATCTTTTGCCTGCCTCTGTGTGTTTTTTTATACAGTAATTGCTATCATTTACCACCGGCAAACCCTCAGAAAGAGATTCCATTACAGTGTTTTAGTATCTAATCGTCTTCTCATGAAATGGGGAGAAAAACGATCAGATTTATGTGAGCACTTGAACTAGTGGGATGGGGAATTTATCAAATATCTGAAATGATTTATGAAATGAAAGAAACTGACTTTAATGTTTTTTTTCTTTATTATATTGGTGCATACTATACATGAAAAGGACAACATTTTTGTGGTTATTTTAAGAAAAAACATATTTCAGAAATATAATTTCACTTGATTTTAATTGCATTTGTCTACAGTAGCTTAAAATATCACCTTAAGCTATTGTATCATACCCATGTCATACCTTTGTCATTATACAAATTGATGTCCTCATTTGTCACAAAAATGCACACTCACTCACTCTTTCGCTCTCACTCTCTCTCTCACACACACACACACACACACACACAGTGCACGTATAAACATTAAATTGCAGCATTGGTTATGGATTATGGTTTTTGCATTTGTTTCATGCATTATTTTGTACCCATGGAAATAGCCAAAATATTTTTATATATTTTTACATAATATTATATATTTATATAAAACTAATTTGTTTTTTCAGTTTATTTTTATTTTTCTTCAAATTTTTAATTTTTTCCTCCAATTTCTTCAATGCAGTCAAAACTATATTTAAAAAAAAGGGCAAATTATTTACTTGCTGTCCATCGTGCTGTAGAAGGGATTTAGATGATGACACTTCTTGGGTCACAGAAAGATTTTTATTTTATTTATCTTTATGTATTGTAACAGGGAAGATCATGTAGACAGAAAAGATGGGGATTTTGGATGAATGTGGGACATCACTTTTTTGGCTGTTAAAAATGGCACATTTTTATAATATAGGCTATATAATAAAATGAATGTGAGTTATGTCAGATGTTGTGCGATTTTAATTGTTGCATCAGACCTCAGAGTTGGGACTGGCCAAAAGCACTTTTTAAGGTAATGGGACACCAAAGTGTGCCTCTATTCAAGATAAGAGCCATTTGCTTGACACTATATTCCCTCAGGATGTTGATTGCTTTTAATTCCGCCCTGACAACAGCCTCCTGGAAGGCATCCCATAATAGACCCCCAATCCTGATTGAAAATCGGTTGCTGTAAAGCGCTGGCTCCATTATGACACACACACAGCAACGCCAAAGACTGTCTTTATTTGTCACGGGTGCTGACAGAGTTTGGCAAGGCCAGCGTTTGGCACGTCTCGAGCTGCCTGACCAGTCTGCCAAGTGGCACTACTGTGGGCATTTGGCAGGACAAGTGACTGGTGAAATCCTCCAAGGATGGAGAAGGTGGGATGGACATTTTACTGGATCTCCACAGCACATTTATGCTGTCAAACATGCTAAAGGTAAGTCATCAGATTCAAAAGTGACAGAAATTTAACAGAATGGTTTTCTAAACAGGCTCATCGAAAGTCAGAAAACAATTTCCAAACAAGCAAATGTTTTACAAATCAGCCCTACTCTAAATGCATATTGAGTTTTCAAAGCCATTGGAAAATGGCCATATGGCTGCAGACAATACCCCAGTTTTCTGTAAAACACTATGAAAAAAAAAACAGCATTTATTGTAATATAATTTATAATGTAATTTTTTCCTGTGAATTTGTCTTCAGTCTTCACTGTCACATGATTCTTCAGAAATCATTCTAATTATGTTCATTTGCTACATTGATACATTTTTTCAGGATTCTTTGATGAATAGAAAGCTCAAAATAACAGCATTTGTTTGAAATCTTTTGTAACATTATATAGCCTTTGCTTTGATTAATTTATTGTGGGCCGGCTGAATACAATTAATAATTTCTTTAAATCTTTGACTTGAGATGACCGTGAGTAAATTATTTTTTTATTATCCCTTTAGAATCTTGAATATAAATGAGCAAAACATACAAACAAAAAGAACAACGCTTAAAAAAAAAGAAAAGAAAAGAACATTGTTATATATTTTTATGTGAAAAATACACAGTATAATACAATAGTACCCACTGGGGATAATATGTTCATTTTTGTTTTCACAGTTAGATGTCACGTCCCCTCAATTACTCCAGACAATTGAAAAAGGAAAAAATAAAACGCATGAATCACATTTTGGCCTCAATGAAATCAAATCCACTTTCAAGTTTTCAGCTTTTTTTTTTTTTCATGTTTCTCACCTTCATTATATTCCACATTTACACTGTGATCCTTACGCAACATTTCTACAGGTTTGACAATGTACGGTAGATACTCATTAAATGACACTTGATACCAAGCGTTAATGACTTTAGATATACAGATTTACAGTATAACTACAAACATGAGCTGTTCTGAAGCAATGGTGTTCAACTTCTAGGAGTAAGAAAATAATTTTTATACTTATAAATAAGGAACTATACATCGCGTTATCTTTTTCAAGAAAAGACGTTTCTGAACATGTTAACAAACAATGCAGGCGCTTTCACATACAGTAAACAAAGCAATGGTACTTTCGTTTGTACAACCAGAATAATGTGCAAAGAAAATTTAACGATCACGGACATTCTGCTTTGCATCCAACTAGGGCTGCACGATAAATCGAAATGGAATCGAGATTGCGATTCGACAGAAGCTGTGATTGTCATGCGTATCTTTCAGTGAAGCACGGTTCTGTGATCAGCAGTAAATCTCCATCCAAAGGCCAGAGGGCGCTCTCGCGCTGAAACTCCAAATACGCCTCGCAGAAGAAACCCAGAAAATGCCTATCGCTGCAGCTGAATAAACAGAAGATTCAACTGCTTTCATTGATTCAACGTGACTAATAAGCAGCATTTACGTCACAGAGCCGTAGTTCACTGAGAAGCTATGCAAATAGCTGTTATTATCGTGTACGATTTCTTCGATTTCAGAATCGCGCAATAAAATTGTCTGCTATTTGTTTGCGTAACTTGTCAGTGAACTACGGCTATGTGTAGTAAATTCTGCTCCATCTGAAAGCATGTGATGATGATTTCCTGCTGATTACAGAACCGGCTTTTTTAACAAAATGCGCATGACAATCGCATTCAATTAATCGTGCAGCCCTACATCCAACCAAAAGAAACTCCAGCATGTTGAACCTTCACTAGTTTTAGACAGACTGGCACAGTTATATTAACACAAATAGCACATTCCCCAACCGATTCTCAAACAATGGGCTCGGCGTGTTTCGAAATCCTTGAAATGCCCCAGAAGGATGTTAGTGTTTCTAAGAAAGAACTAGTTTATCCCAAGGCTCCTTATCGCATCTGTGCATCATAGGGATTTAAAAAAGGGCACAAATACACATCCTCAGGCAGCTCCCACTAACACTTGAGATGCTTCTTGCTGGTCATGTCGTTCCAGATACGATGCATCTCCTCAGGGGAGATCTGGTGTACGGTAATGACTCGACGGTACCTGCAAAGACTGTAGGCCATTTTCCAGTGATTGAAGCCACTGTTCTGATACGGGTGAATGGCCAGCTTCCTCAAACACACCCCGACGTAAACGTCCTCCAGATGCAAGAGTCTGGTGTGCAAGGACGTCTTGTAGATGAGCTCCGCAACGTCCGCCGAGAACACGTACCCAGTGCCAGAGCAAAACGGCGGGTACTTGCTCTCGGGGTAAAGGTCTCTGGGCATGTACCACTTGCTGCGCATGTCCCGAATGGGTCCGCCGTTGATGACGTATCCCGTGAAGTACCTCCGTCGAGGTTTGGTGGCCGGCTTCAAGAGTTTATGCACCAAGTTGTCCATGTTCACGAAGATATCACTGTCCGTTTTCATCACGTACTTGGCTTGGTTGCAGAAAGTGGCCACCCAGCGCATTCCCATCAGCGTTTTGAGAGTAAGATTGTGGTACGAGTCGATGAAGTCCTCGACTACGATGTCGTGAAAGATCTCGCTCTCTTGCTCCACCATCTGGTTGAGCACCGCATCTGTACTGCGTCCGAGAAGAAACAGCGTAATGATGCGAAGGTCGCTGAAGGTGCTTTCGTCGCCCCACGTTTCCCTGATGGCTTGGCGGGCGTCAAACTCTTTGTGCGTGGTCGTGATGAGGATGACGAGGAAGGGCACGTTGGTTTCGCATTTCTTGGGCTCATTGATGATGAAATCGAAGGTGTGGGGGTTCAGTGGACGCGTGCGGATGTTGCTGAAGGTTGTGGTGGCGTTGCTCTTGAGCGCTTTTGCCGTTTTATGTGCCGGGACGGACAGTTGGCTCACGTAGGACGACGTGGAACGCGATATACTTAGGTACCACAGAGCGCTGGCCCAGCAAACGACCGTCAGCACGTAGAGGCATGACACTTTTGAAGGCATTGTGATGCATTTACGTGCACTTGGAGCTGTAGATCTCGAACGGCCTAGCAGCCATTAGCGATGGTAGCTCAGGCAGAAATGCAGAACCCCATGACGTCAGCTGTCAGAGCTGTCTTCTCTTCATATGAAAGCGGTAGGATTATGTAGCAGGCTTTTGAATGCTCCCTGACACTCTTCTGCATGTTCCACTGAAATCTGAAAAACAAAACAGCAAAAGTGTGTTCAGAGCAAAACAGGACAAGTGGGTTCCTCAACTGATGTCTAGGGATCAAGATGGACCATAAATATAATTTTTCATTTACATATATGCAATTGACAGATGCTTTTATCTAAAGCGACACATTGTATTCATTACACATTTTTTTTTTCTATTTGTATCAGTCTTGCTTTCACTGGGAACTGAACCCATGACTTTGCTGTTGCAAGTGCCATGCTCTACTGTTTGATCTACAATACAGTTTAATGACAACAAATAAAATATGCACAGAAATATGCTGATATTAACTGTAGGATATCAGACCGAATCAGACAATCTAAGATTTGGTCAAAACCGAGTTGAGGCACGAGGAGTCACAAAAATTGGAGGCCCAAGACAACAGGATGTCATAAATCAGACCCTAGCCCTTCTGAAGCAAGCCTAAACCTAAACCCCTGTCACAGAACAGTTTTCAACATTAACACAAAAGAACACATTGACAAGTCCAAGGAGATTGTCAATTTTGGGGCAAGTTATCAAGAATAATGGTCAAAAGAGATGCACAGTGTGACCGCCACATGGAAACATGTGACAGTGATCACAAGCTTCGGATTTACTTTTCCCTCCACATCACGAGCCCGAACAAACTGAAATTCCTTACAGAACGTATCCTTACGTCCACAGAATGCCAAAGAAACTTCATTTCCATGTGAAACTGGTGCGAGGGTTAATTAAGTGATTGATGGTTGTTCAGATCTATACAATGGCACATATTGCTGTAAACTTGGGATTTCACATTTTCATTCTCTTTAATTATTTCCTCTCTCTCTCTTTCTGAAAACTTGTGTGAATGCGTGTGTTCATGTGTTAGATTAGTTTATATGTCTTAGATTTATCCAATAAAGCCTTATTTATATGGAAAAGAGAAGTATCTTGTGTTTTGTGCTCACAAGTTAATGTCTTAAACTGCCGATCTTGTTACTATGCTAATTAATAGTGTTTTCACTATATTTTGGATATAGATATCCATTGCAGAATTGCTGTCATACGGCTCGTTCACTGAATCGCAGGCCGTCTCAGTGATCAGCCGTAAAACAGTGATTCTGTCCTAATTCCCTTGCATATTAATGGTGGAGTTCCCTTTAAAATCTTAAATGATTCCCTTTGAGCTAAATTATTGACCTGTTTCCCTTACATAACCCTTATTTTAGACGATATTTATTAAAATTCACAAAACCCACAAAAGCAGAAATACTGTATTTCTGGACTGCCAAGAAATTTACAATGGAGTACAACTTTAACACACTGAAAAGCTCTTTGTGCCTGATGAAGACCTGACTGGTCGAAACATTGTCCTGCACCTGAGCCAAATTTTTGGGTCTTTTGGATATGTGCACATTTTTGCACTGCTTTGATATTGGTGAAATACAATAATATCAAAAAAGCAAAACCAATAAAAGATGATTGCATCCTGATCTACCATGAGCTATCACCATTTTAAACCATGTTAGACAGATTTCAACATTACTGATATTGCCACGTACTGGCTTTTGGATTATGGTAGAAAATAAGTCCTGTGACAAACAAAAGATTTTGATTCTTACACGTTCATCAAGATAATTTTCACAAATAAACACTTTTATTAATTATGAAGCCTGTATACAATTGTCAGAAGTAAAGAGCTAAAGGTAAAGAACTACACCATGGTTGCACATCTTCAAGATCACCAAGTTTCCCAACAGCTCGTTCAGTATTTGCTACAGGCGAATAGGATAAAACATTTGAACTAACAGATATAACTATATGCCTTTGCCCAGCTGATTATTCACAGTACATGACATTCTGAAATGTTATATTTAAATATGCAAATGACACATTATCTAATCAAATATGCAGTACTTTGCATAACTCTGAGCATTGGATAAAGTCAGGTTCAAAATTCTTGTTTCGTTTTGTTGCCATATTAGAGCTAAAGGTTTTTACAGAGTGGATTTAGGATTTCTCTTTTATCACTCCATAAATTAGAGAATACTGTCAACAGTCAGAAAAAAAAATCACCATGTATTAGGAATAAAATGCTATATAAGTCAGTGAATGATATAAGAACAAACTGCTCTGTTTTTAGAATAAAGAAATAAATAAAATAAAGTTTAGTGCAAGTAAGTGCTACTGTGGAGATTCCGGACTCTCTGTGAATGAGAGAATTCAATTCAATTCAAGTTTATTTGTATAGAACTTTTCACGATACAAATCGTTGCAAAGCAACTTTACAGAAAATTAAGTTTCTACAATCTATTTAGTAATAGCTTGTCAGTGGTGACTATCAGTTAATGTACATATGGCAGAAATTGTAGCAACTCATTGTGGAATAACTGCACATAATGTAATAAGTATTACATTATTATTGTAATGAAATGTTCATAATGTAATAATTTTCTCAAAATGTAATAAAATCTTGAGCTCATAATGTAATAACAATTATTACATTATGAGAAATGTATTACATTATAAACTGACCAAAAATATTGTAATATTGTCAATTATATAATTATACTTATAATAAAGTATAAGTATACTTTATTATAAGTATAATTATATAATTATACTTATAATGAAGTATAAGCAGCCCAGTATAAGGGACAGTCAAAATATTTGTGCTGTTATTTAGCCTATGTGTATAATATATGGATATAGAGATAAATGCAAAAATGTATCTCAGACGTAATTTGTACATGAATGGATTAAGCAAAGCAAATATTTTCACGTCTGAGATTCATTTTAGCATTTATTTAGAATAACTAAACTATAGCTGAACTTTAGTGAGGGAACATTGTTCCTCTTAGCATCATGAAAAAAACCTTTAATTAAAATTCTGAATGCATTACAGATGGTCTAGTATGTGTGCAAAGAGTGCTCCCTTTATCATTTCAAATGCACTGAGCCTGTCACTCATCTCAGTTCGTCGGTTCAATGGACGTGTCTGTGTTTAGCTACACTGCTCAATGCTGCAAACATTGCAAATAGAAACATCTGATGCTCTCCAGAGCGCAAATGTAAATATGCACAGAAGAGTTTTCCAAATATGTTATTATTACAGTTTCAACTAAGGGTGCTCTTGGGTTTTTTTTTTGTGAGAGTAATTACCTCCCTAAACTGGGCGTGACATGATAAACTGCTTTCTGTATGGATTTAATATGGAATGTTGCTTAAATACGGGAACAGTTGGCAATCCTGCTTTGCATGTTTTAAACACTTAGATTATGTTCTTACTTTGGCCATGCATTAAATGCACATCCTTGAAAGAGCGCAGTTTGCTGACATATTTACTTTAAAGTCCGCGTGAACCGGAAGTTGCTGCCGACTGGATTTCAGTGTGGTGGCATATTTCCAACTGAAATGGAATATTGAGTAGAGGAAGGGGTTTTAGTTTTGCGCTCCTCCTCTCATCTCTCACTCACAGCAGACTAATGGTCGGAAGGGTGTGGTTAAGCATATTCTGTCAAGCTGACGTCATCAGAGAAGGCATGCCATTCCAGAGCGGAAGCAAATGATCAGATTTTAATTCAAGATTACCAAAACAAACTTTTTTTTCATAGGATTAACTTGCACAGATTAATTGTTGGCCTTAAGACTAGCAATGCGTGCTAAATAAAAGTTCACAACGTAGCCCAATTTTCTTTTAATAAAACTATTATTGTTTTGTGCTCAAATGTATTATATTGAAAGATAATTATGATATTGTAAACATAATAATAATTGTTTTAAGTTATGTGCTGGCATTACCTTATGAACTGTTATTACATTATAAGTTGCCACAGTGTGTTCATGATGTAATATATTTCTCATACAACAACCTATTACATTATGTGAAAATGTTTTATTACATTTAAAAATGATTACATTATGAGCTCAAGATTTAATTACGTTTTGAGAAAATGATTACATTATGAACATTTGATTACGATAATAATGTAATACATATTATGTGCAGTTTTTACATTATGTGCAGTTATTACATTATGAGTTGCTACAGAAATGTTCGGAAAAATCAAAGACGTAATCAAACAGACGAACACTATTAAGAGCAATTATTGTATGTTGTTTCAGGGTTGGCATCATCTCTTCTCAGGTGTTCTGGATCCAGACTGAAGCTTGTGTAAATCCTAGTTACCACGGGATGTCAATGAAAAAATGAAAAAACAAAAACATAAAAAAAATAAACACATGATGTTTTAATTCATCTAGTCTAAGTTATAAAAGAACAGTAGTCTCAAAATCTCAAAAACAACAAATGTTTTGTAGTGTCTTGCCTTTTAAAACCAACAAGTTGGAAAATTTTAAATAGTGAATAAAATATGACTTCAGGAGACCTGAAATGCAATGCAAGAGACATGGACTATTTATTCTTGACTTTTTAAGACCTTGACAGCAGTGACGATTCTGTCATTATTTACTCACCCTGAGGTCATTCCAAACCCACATCAAGGTGTAAATAAAGTAAATAAAATATAGAATTTTCACTTTTGGGTGAACTCTCCCTTTAAAATTAGAAGAAAGGATTCAACCAAACGTATGGAACATTGGTTACTTTAGTAAATACAGAACATCTCTCCTGCTGGAACACAGGAGCAAAACCACCCCCCGCCTACCTAAATATTTGAATAGACAGTTAGCCAAATATTATGATTCTTATCGACTGACATTGCAGGAGATTGTTAATGTTTGAATGAATTAAAGAATATGAGGTGGAGAATGTGCATGTGTTTGAAAGCAGCAGTCATCTGTTGTGTTGCCTGTATGGAAATGAGAGCGCTGTGTGATTCCTGCTCTGAAGTTTTCAGCCGTTTAGACTTTTGATAAGAGAGCTGTGTCGGCATATAGCGGCTTTCT